GGGTCATGGGGTCATTGGTGTCCCTGATTCATCAGGGCAGGAAGGCAACAATCACAACAACTGACTCTTTTTATGGCAGTTTCATCTGCAACAGCTTTTATTTGAGCTCCAGGTTCAACTGGTCACATGGACAAAGTGACACAAAAGTCCGGTTTAACCAGTAACCAGTCCAGTTTAACCAGTAACCAGTCGTCGTCTTGAGGAAAAGTAGGCAGAGAACAGATATAAACCCCTCCCTGATTGTTGGTGGAACCACGGTCTCTGTGTTAGTGCACCTGTCAATCATCACTGTTACAGTATATAAATCTAATCCAAGTTAAAAAAAAAACTTTTCACAGAGACTCGTGGGATTTCTAGGTCTGAAGAAAAGTGATCGTCCAATTATTTTCATTCCTTCTCTTCACATTGATCTTGGCGTCGACACTTTCTTCACTTCATTGATGGTCACATGTCTGACAAACCAACAAAGTCTTGGATCAAACTGCCATCTGGTATGATATCACTCAACAATTTTCCATACTTTTGTTTTGCATAACTGCCCTCTACTGGGCAAACATTTTAACTGACGAACATTTCGAAGCTGCTACAAAGAAAAGGGAAAAATAGAAAAAACCAACAGAGGGCAGTGTCCCTGCTGATGAACACAGCACCGCGTGGTCGACATGACACGCCTAAAATGACTGATGTGATTTTAACGTTAATTTTTAAGAAATTCCTGAAGAGTTAGTTTAATCACTGACATCTTTTTGGTACCTGGAGGTCACGGGGTCACAGTTAGAAAGAACATTTCAGGTCTGTCTCAGATATTTGATACTTAAAAGTGCAACGTCATAACAGTACAAAAAATTCAAACAAAGAATAAAAAGATATTCATCAGATATGTATCTGTCAGCACAAGCACATGTTTGGCTCCACTGGTCCTTATTGGTCCAGGTAAGAATCACAGTATTTGATCACACAGACGAAGCGGAAGCTCTTCACTACGTGCATGGTTCTTAATATAAGAGTTTCCCTTCACTCCTGACAGGCCGCGCTGTAAACATTCAACTCTCTCTTCCTGGAGAATCAGCCCTGTTTGAACAGTGACGTCTGAGACGAGCCTAAACATGATGACACCAATTAAAAAGTTCTAAGTTGATGCGCGCTACATACAGACTTAAACTAGAACTTTTTACGGAATACATTCCATTTCTTCAGATCTGAACATTTTTCTATATTACAGGCCATAAATATATTGCAAACGTTGAACCACTTTTGTCAGGTTTCCTCTCCGTCTTCTGTTGTTTCTGTTGTTCCTCACTGAACACGGAACACCTGTGGTCCGTGAAGTCGCCCTGAGGTTTTGGTTCAGTTACTAGAAAAATAAGTGAAGAGAGAAAGTTAACAGTTTAATTTTTAGGCATAAAGATGTCCAGAAGTTAATGATGTTTTAGTGTGAGATTTAAAAAATAACCGATGACTGAGTTTGTCTTTTTCTAAAACAAATAAATGCAAAACTTAAAATAATAAAAACAAAACTAGTTAATTTTACAGAACTAAATAAACTATTCTTAAACAAAACAGCATTTAATAATAACTTTTATATAAAAAACCTGTTTGGTATTTTCTGTCCAGCAGATGGAGCCAAAGCACCATTCGTGGAAGCCGTCGCTTTATATTTTTCCTACATAAGAACGACAAATTCAATGTTCAGTGCTTGTAATGAGGGACAATAAAGAGAAATAAACAGAAATCACAATGAACTGAAATGAAACTCACTCCTGAGGGTCTGCTGACAGGACAGTGAGGGGGGGGTCGACCTGGGGGGTCAGGGCGATGTTTTGGTGCAGAAGGAGATGAGTGGCTTTTAGAAACCTCAACAGGTAAAGGTGGAGGTCTAAAGAGTGGTGGAGGAGCCCGCATCCGACTCTGCTGGGCCAGCTGAGCAGGGGTGAGAGGAGGGGGGGTGAAGGCCTGAGAAGAAGGAGCAGGGTGAGGGTGGGGGTGGGGGTGAGGCTCAGGTGGGTGTTTGTTCTGCTCTGCAGCGTAGGCAGGAACAGGAGGCGGCTTCACAGCTGGACGCACGATGGGATGTCTGGCCCGGGTGGAGGACGACGGGCTGGGACAGCTGGGGGGGGTCACCTGTGGGAGGGGGGGTCAGGAGGGTTAACTCTGATCTGGTGCAACAACAGAGAACTGATAATCTGGACATCAGTGTGAACTTCACCAGGTCTGACTGCTGCTTCTGCAGCAGGAAGGTGGGGTTGGTGTGTCCATTCACAGGACAGTTAGTGACCAGAGGTTTGTCCTCCACCAAGACTGAACAACTGGAACAGAACAGAACAGAACCGTCGCTCAGCCACCAGACCTACAGCAGCTCTGAACATTAGTACGACTGGAACAGTTCACTTCAACACATACTTTGGCACTGGAGGTGGAACTGTGGCCTTCAGTGGGTGGAGCCTGTGTCTGTAGCAGCACCACAGTCCAAGAGCGGCCAGAAGGACAAAAAGAACCAGAGGGAGAACAAGCAGCGCAGGGAAGAGGCGACCTGACGGAGAAGCAGAGGTCAGACACAAGAACCGCCGTCGGTCCACATCAGGGACAAAAACAAACAACAGTGTGTCTCACTGTGGCCGATGACAGGTCCGCTGTCCACACTCCCACCTGAGCCTCGGTGCTGACACAGAGGGGGGGCCCAGCCGGGGTCACAGTGGCAGTTATGGTTGTTGTTGCACAGCTGGAAAAAGACAAGGTCACACACACACTGACCACTGACGACACATTCATGTCTGATCCTTGGCTGTGGATCAGTGTGTTTGGGTCAGGGGTCTCACACCTCCTGGGCTCAACACTTATAGAAAGATTATTCTAATTTGGGCCGGGGTCCATCACACCTACCCCGTGTCCGTGGCACTTGGCGTTGCACTGATCAGCCTGGAGAAAAGATGCATTACGGCACTCTCCATTAAAGCAAATCTGTTCAGAATGCAAAGGGGGGGGCGGGGGGGGTCAGAAGGTCACAGGGTTTAGATTACACTGTGTAAACAAGTGACTGACAAAAAGGTTTTTAAACACTGTAAAGTTCACCAGGTCAGAACTTCCATAAACGGGTCAATAAACAGTTAAACCACGTCACACACTGGACCAGAGAAGAAGATCGTCTCACTTTAATCTAAGACAGATTATATCCTGACTCAGAGATAAATACATCCATCATAAGATAAACAGTCTCACCGAGTCGTCTCCACACTTGGTGCCGGTCATGACCAGACCCGGGTCCAGAGTGTCCCCCTGCGTCTCCTTGTCCCCCTGCTTATACACATGTGTTCCCATACACTGCACTCTGGTGCCCCCTACTGACACGGTGGTCTCAATGCGCACGGCGTTGTTCTCAATGGGCTTGGAGGCCGAAGTCAAACACTGGATTTTCCCACATTTGGCATCTCTGTAAAAAATGATGAGATTAGAGACGATGATGATCAGCGGGGGGGGGGGGCGGGGGGGGGTACTTCTACCCTCCCCTCTCCTTACAGCTCCTGTATTTCCCAAACAGATCTTTGCCACAGTTCCCGTACATGTCCCCGGCCTCGTTGACCTTCTTAAAACAAAGGTCGGGGGCCGGACGGCCACCTGGTGGTTGGAAAGAAAAGAGAAATGACAGGAACATGTTGGTGTGTGACCTGGGGGAGAACAGGTCCTGCAGTACTGCAAACAGTCCCCTAGGTGGTGCTGTCATGGCCATGTGGGACAGGTAGTGATGCCAAAGAGTACAGATGTGACCCACCTGGACCCCACAGGGACAGACACTGCTGCTCCAGGGTCAGACACATGCCAGTGTAGCAGTAGGCCTGACCTGCTGCACAGGAAGTACCGTCCACCAGGTAGAAGTTGGCAGGACACAGTTCTGTCTTCCCGTCACAGTACTCTGGGAGGTCACATGGTCCTGAGGGGGCACGACACAGCGGGCACGACACAGCAGACCTGGTCTCTTCAGCTGGGGGGGGGGGGGGGGGGGGGGGGGGGGGGGGGGGGGGGGGGGGGGGGGGGGGGGGGAGGAGAGGTAAACACAGGTGAGATGACGATGTAACATTCACTCCCATGGCCCACTCCCATGGTCCACTCTTGGTGCTGGTACCTTGCAGTTGTCACAGCAGATTCCGTGAGCACACTCCGCTCCAGCTCTCAGTGTACAGTTGTTGGCGTTACAGCAGGGACTGTCACACTCCTACACAGGAGAGAGCTAGTCATGAGAGCCAGCGACACACACTCACACACACACAGACAGACACAGACACAGACACCGACCTCCTCCTCCCCACAGTCACACTCCTCTCCCTCCTCCAGGTAGCCGTTGCCACAGCGCTGCCCCCCGTACATGGCCCTGGTGTTGGGCAGGTTGAACAGACACTTCCCTCCTCCGGAGCTCAGGTAACTCTTCAGCTCCTTCTCGTTACAGCCGTTAAACACTCGGGGGAACGGGTGTCTGTAACAGGGAGAAAGACACCAACCGTGACCTGCTGATCACATGACTGCTGGCTCAGGGTTCTGCCCCACTCCGTCAGAATACCCCGTGGCAGCGGCCATGATGCAGCCCCCGTCCTCCGCTCTGGCCTGACAGCAGCCGGCGCTGTCGTGGCTCATCCCAAAGTTGTGACCCAACTCATGAGCCATGGTGGCTGCAACGCCGACGGCCGACTCTGAGTGGTCCTTCAGGAGAACAAGGAGGGAAAAGAGGTGTTTCTGTCAGTCGGAGCGAATGTTGTCATGAACACATGATGATGTTGTTGTTGTTGATGTTGTTGTGGTTGATGTTGTTGTGGTTGATGTTGTTGTGGTTGTGGTTGTTGTTGTGGTTGATGTTGTTGATGTTGTTGATGTTGTTCTGGTTGATGTTGTTGTTGTTGATGTTGTTGTTGTTGTGGTTGATGTTGTTGTTGATGTTGTTGTGGTTGATGGTGTTGTTGATGTTGTTGTGGTTGTTGATGTTGTTGATGTTATGGTTGATGTTGATGATGTTGTTGATGTTGTTGTTGTTGTGGTTGATTTTGTTGATGTTGTTGTTGTTGATGTGGTTGTTGTTGATGTTGTTGATGTTGTTGATGTTATGGTTGATGTTGTTGATGTTGTTGATGTTATGGTTGATGTTGATGTTGTTGATGTTGTTGTTGTGGTTGATGTTGTTGTTGATGTTGTTGTGGTTGATGGTGTTGTTGATGTTGTTGTGGTTGATGGTGTTGTTGATGTTGTTGTGGTTGATGGTGTTGTTGATGTTGTTGTGGTTGTGGTTGTTGTTGTGGTTGATGTTGTTCTGGTTGATGTTGTTGTTGTTGATGTGGTTGTTGTTGATGTGGTTGATGTGGTTGTTGTTTCTCACCGTGTTCACTCCTCCAGACTGATAGTCAGAACACATGGCCTTGAGAGGAGCCAGTCCAATGGTGGTGCCCTGGAAAGACTTACCCCTGTAGAGAGACCCCCCCCCCCCACAATCAGTACTACATCGACTGGAGGTTCATGAGGACTCAACCTAACTGGGCCAACAAAACCAGGAGACTGACGTGATCAGCTGAGCGTTGTCGTTGGGAAACACTTGGAGCTGTTTGCGTCTCCAGGACAGGAAGGCTGCCAGAGTGCTGTGAGGGTTATCAGAAACGTTGATCAAGTCCCGGCTGGTCCACACCTCCAGACCGATCAAGGCCACGCGGATGTTCAAGGCCTTGTAGTACTGCGGGACAGAGGAGACGCTGAGGCACAGGAATGTGACAGGTGATGATGAGTCAATCAAACGCAGGCGTGACTTCCTGTTACCTTGTCCACGAGGTTTGCAGCTTCTAGAAGTTTCAGTTTGGTTTTCTCCAGATTACTGCCATGCTTCTCAAACTGCAGAACATTGAAATGACACGGGTCACTGAAACTGACACACCCATCACACACACACACCCCGACATCTCCACACACCACAAAAGGTTGGATTCTAAACAGTAACAGGATGTGAGTCAGAGATTGAACTGATTTGAACTATTTGTTAAATTCACCACTGAATAAAGATGTAACGACTCACGACACGATCACCGCCGCGTTCTGTTCCAACACCTGAATGTCACTCAGCCCACGTAGGGACCTGACGACTGGGTTAAATAGTGGGTCAATACCAACGTTATTAGGCGCATACTGCCACCTACTGTAGAAGAGTGTGTAGTGTCACGGTCTGACCAGTGACTTATAGATAACTCTGTCTACTCCTCACACCTTCAACCAATGAGAATTATCACGGACCTTGAACCCGTTCACGATGCGTCCGTTCTTTCCACATATTTGATAAAGATTCACTCCAAACATCGTTCCACTGTCACACACCAGGGTTTGGTCACCACCTCACCTCAGTTTTGTCTGCCACGATCAGCAGCTCCACGTACTTCGTGGCTCGACTCACGTCCCTCTTCTCCTGTGAATTAATTCAACTTTGGTTTCAACCATTCAACACGTGTGGCGCCGAACACACTCCACTGCTGCACCGTCCGTCAGAACTCACCCTCACTTTCCCCGATGATGTCGCCACTCCGCGGATGAAGTCACCGATCCGCTCCTCCGTCCCGCTGTTGCCGTGGCGATGGAGGCAGCTCCCCGTGGGCAGATGGAGACTCTCGGCCCGGAACACAGCGTGAGTTCCTGCCGACCCGGAGACCAGAGGCTGGATCAGGTAGTTGACGCTTGAGTTCAGAGAAATCAGTCCCCTGAAGACGAGAGGGAACAGGAAGTGACATATGAGCTCCGGTCAAGAAGTCCAAGAAGTGTTGGGTCAAAGTCAGAGGTCAGAGGTCAGAGAAGATTATTATCAAATGTAGCAGTTTTTATTATAATCAAGCTTTGATGATTGGACCACAGAAGACTGGTGCCGCTGCAGTCGGTTCAGTTCTCACAGGCCTAGAACCGATCTTCAGAACTCAGTGAAAACCCAGCCTGGGACAAGGCTTCATTCTTCACTTCACTGACCTTCCATGACCTCTGAAGTCAGAGTGAAACAGTGTGAAAATTCATTTCACTGCACATTTTCCTGGTGTGTGTGTGTGTGTGTGTGTGTGTGAATAAAATCCTCCAGAACAGATAGAGCAGTCCCTCCTGACACCAACATTCATGAGTCCAGCTGCTCATAAACAAACACGGAGTCACAGCTGCGTGAAACATCTGGAGAGTCCAGGACACGGAAACACCGTCGCCCGTGTGTGTTTCCATTAAGACGTGTGGTATTACTGCACTAATCATACACACACACACACACACAGAGCCAGTGAGTGTCGCTCCTGGACTCTGTGTCTCGGTCGTGTTCTTTACCTGAGTCCTCGACAGGTGCTGACAGCAACACTGGAACCTTCAAACCCCTCAACTGCCCCGTGGTAGAAACAGTGCCCCTGTGGGAGACACCATCACAGCCTGAGAACAACTTTTTCACAGCAGCATACGTTCATCCTGCAGTCCTGCAGACTTACAGCAGGGGCAGGAGAGGAGGACTTGCGGACTCCTTCTGGGCTGTACCACACTTCCTGGTATCCATGGGCCAACAGCTGCCTGAGGAGGACAGACAGGAAGTCAGTTTGGAGGAGAACACGCACGGGCGACAAACACTCAGAGGAGGAGACAGAAGGAGGTCCATTTGTCTCCTGCAGCCCTCCGCTCATAAAACATTTATGGAGCCAGAACCACTCAGACAATCAGACTGAGCTCCACTCAGAGATGAACGACAGCAGAATCAGGAGGCAGATCCTGGCTCCAGTAAAAACTCCCTGTTTTGTGTCTGAACCTCCAGAGTTTTTCTGTTTGACATGGTTTCATCTCTGATGGATGACTTTCTAAAAAGTAGCATCCAACACAGAGTCCAAGCCCCGTCCCCCCCCCCCTCCTCCACCCATCTGTTCACCTCCTCCTCATTCATAAACTCCGTCGTCCTCACAGCTGCCTTCTTTTTACTACATGTTTCTAAATCTCTGCTCCCACGGTCCGACTCCGGTCCCTCACACAGACCAGGGTGAGCTCATCTGGACCTGGACCTGGACCTGGACCTGGCAGCTACACTGCTAGGTTAGCTTAGCATTAACTCAGAACAGATAAAACATAGGAGTGAAGATGATTTGAAACTGGTAAAAATGTAGGTTTTCCTCAAAGTGTCAAACTTTGAGGAAAACCTCCATTTTTTTCTTCTTCTTCTTCAGTCCCTCCTTCCACTGGGAACCACAGACTCTTGTCCTTCATCCTCTTCCTCCGGTGCCTCTCAGCTAATTGGGATTATTCAGGGATTGGGATTATTCAAACCTTCTGTTGTTTTTCAAATGTAGAAACATTAACTTTCACCCTGACACTGAGTCATTGATAATATTTTTTTATGGTAATTTGTCCTCAAACGCTCCAGACACTGAGGTCACCAACATCTGAGACTGAATCAACGAGCAGCACATGGATTCATGTCATCAATAATCCTTTATTTCAATTCAGACATTCAGTCACATCAATAAATTAAATTAAATTAAATTAAATTAAATTAAAAAAACAAACCAAACAATCATTCTATTATCAACGACATCATCAGCACCAGTCGTGTTTGCTGTCATATATTTGAAGGGAAACGCAGCAGGTCCCAGACCAGACTGAACAACCCAGACTCACTGACCCTGGACCAGGTTCTGGTTCTGGTTCTGGACCAGGTTCTGGTTCAGGTCTCTTCAGTCTCCACTCTCATTAGTTCTAACACCTGTATTCTCAGAATTCTAGAGTTTTTGTTAGTTGAAAAATCAGAAATACAAAAAACAATTCAATCATGTTTTTCATTCTTTTTTTTAGAATTATTTACTCATTTATTCTATAACCACGGGGGAGAGTGGGGGAGGAGGGGGGACACAGTGAATGTATCCATCCATTATCCACCACTGATGTTATAGCGGGGGCCAATCCCAGCTATCCATCTACAGGTGAGAGTGGGGGGGTGGGGGTGAGATAAACTAACAAAGTCAACAGGTCAGTGAATGTTACAGTACTGATTATAGATCAGCTCAGTAACTGACCTACCAGAGAAGACCTGACACCTGAGATGATGATCCTCAGACCAAAGTTCACTGAAGTTAGAAATACACCCTTGAAATGTGTTGTTATTTTATTAATACTTTAACCAATAACTTTAGGTATCGAGGACGTTTTCTTATCCAGGAATTTTATTTAAATGAAAAAGACAGAACAATTACTTTATTTTCCATTTAATCTATATCACTTACGTCTGTTGGTTCTCTAGATCGTGTTATTGTGGACTGAACATCTATGCTATTAGAGAAAGGTTTTTAATTATCAACTGTTAAGATGTGATACATTTACAGGTATTAATAAAGTGTGATACACTTGAACCCATATCACACAACAACTCCATGAACATGTTTAGGGACTAGTGTGAAAATTAGCATTAGCATTAGTTATGGTGAGAATATTTAGCACAAAATGAAGATAAATATTTCAGATTGATTGTTTCTATGTTGCATCTTCTATTTTGAACTTTTTGGTTGGTTACCACCTCTTCCTAGTTTACTCTTCCACCTGATCTTTTCTAACGTTATCGTTTCTTTTCCTACAGATTTTTTCTCGTGGTTTTTCTCGTGGTTTTTCTCGTGGTTCTGTGTTTAGAGGGAGTGGACATCTGTTTTGTTATTTCACTGCTTCCTATTTCTTACTCCACTTCTTTTTTCTTGGTCTTTTTTAGCAGATGGCCTCCCTAATGTTGGAGTTAACTATCGAGTCAAAGAACTTTCTCACAGAAACAGGCGTGGACGGTCAAACAGACGGTCAAACAGACAGACTCCTCTGCTCCGTCTCTGTACAGTAGAATACCAGCACAACCTTTGGACTGTGGAGGAGTCCCAGAGAGAACACACACACACAGACATGAAGAACGTGCACACTTCACACACACAGGCCTTAAGTAGAACCATCTAGAGTCGATGAGGCGTCGACAACTGTGGTCAACACTCCTTTCTGGGAGGTTAGGGATCGCTGGGCAAACACAAGATTCTAAACTGGCTGCAGCTCTGAATCTGAACCTAAATGGTTTGAACCGTGATGGACTGGTGACCTGACCATGGCGTACCCCAATGTTTCACCCCCTGGGATTGGCTCCAGCTAAGTGTCAGATGAATAAATGAGTAAATGTAAATCAGGACCTCGACACAGCAGACATGGACACAGATCAAAGACCAGACTGGACTGTTGGATACGTACCTGCTCAGAATTCCTCTCCTTCGTCGTCGTCCTCGATACTGTCACTTCCTACCTCCTCATAATCCTTCTCCAGTGCTGCCATGTCCTCTCTGGCCTCAGAGAACTCCCCCTCCTCCATACCCTCACCCACGTACCAGTGAACGAAGGCCCGCTTCGCATACATCAGATCAAACTTGTGGTCGAGCCGGGCCCAGGCCTCTGCGATGGCAGTGGTGTTGCTCAGCATGCACACGGCCCTCTGGACCTTGGCCAGGTCTCCACCAGGAACCACAGTGGGAGGCTGGTAGTTGATGCCCACTTTAAAACCAGTTGGACACCAGTCGACAAACTGAATGGTGCGTTTGGTCTTGATGGACGCGATGGCGGCATTGACATCTTTGGGCACCACGTCGCCGCGGTACAAAAGGCAGCAAGCCATGTACTTGCCGTGCCGAGGATCACACTTCACCATCTGATTGGCTGGTTCAAAGCAGGCGTTGGTGATCTCGGAGACCGACAGCTGCTCGTGGTAGGCCTTCTCAGCAGAGATGACGGGCGCGTACGTGGCCAGAGGGAAGTGAATACGTGGATATGGGACCAGGTTGGTCTGAAACTCTGTCAGATCCACGTTGAGGGCACCGTCGAAACGGAGGGACGCGGTGATGGACGACACGATCTGACTGATCAGTCTGTTCAGGTTGGTGTAGGTGGGATGCTCGATGTCAAGGTTCCTGCGGCAGATGTCATAGATCGCCTCGTTATCCACCATGAAGGCGCAGTCGGAGTGCTCCAGGGTGGTGTGTGTGGTCAGGATGGAGTTGTAGGGCTCCACCACAGCAGTGGACACCTGTGGAGCTGGGTAGATGGAGAACTCCAGCTTGGACTTCTTACCGTAGTCGACGGACAGACGTTCCATCAACAGGGAGGTGAAGCCAGAGCCGGTGCCGCCCCCGAAACTGTGGAAAACTAAAAAGCCCTGTAGACCGGTGCACTGGTCGGCCAGTTTGCGAATCCTGTCCAGCACCACGTCAATGATCTCTTTGCCGATGGTGTAGTGTCCACGAGCATAGTTGTTGGCGGCGTCCTCCTTACCAGTGATCAGCTGCTCAGGGTGGAACAGCTGGCGGTACGTTCCGCTTCGCACCTCGTCAATGACAGTTGGCTCCAGGTCGACAAAAACAGCTCTGGGAACGTGCTTTCCAGCTCCGGTCTCACTGAAGAAGGTGCTGAACGAGGTATCGGATCCTCCGATGGTCTTGTCGCTTGGCATCTGTCCGTTTGGCTGAATACCATGTTCCAGGCAGTAGAGCTCCCAGCAGGCATTGCCAATTTGTACTCCTGCTTGGCCAACGTGTATGGAGATACACTCACGCATGTTTCCTGACGTTTGGAAAACTAAAACGTTTGTTGCACGGTGTACGCAGCACGGATGTTGTGTCGGCAGCAAATGATGAACTCGTCTTTGTCCCTGTTTTCTTGATTTTATTCTCTGATGTTTTTTTTTTCTCCTCTTTTCTCCTCTTCTTTTTGGGTTTGTTATTACCTATTCATTGTAATTAGTTGAGCTAAATGAAGCAAGTCAGACTTAATGAGCCAGTCCTTTCATGTTCCTTTGATGATCAGAAGTGACTGCATAATTGATGACGTCCCTGATGACATTTCATCTGTCATAACATGAGACTGATGGACGACGATGACCTTCACACAGGTCATCATGGTCAACAACATCTGGTCGGCTTCTTCTTCAGTGGTCAGAGAATCCGTTCTCTGTAGAGTTCTGGAGGATGACCTTTGACACCGGTCTATGGACTGAAATCGAGTATTTTTTAAGGAAAATAAAAATTAAGATCAGATGGTTCTAGATCCAAACTTGTTGATGAGTTTCAGTCATTTCTTCTTTTTCTTTTACCCTCCACACCAATCAAGGACTTGATTGGTGTGGAGAGCAGCACCTACTGGCAGCAGATTGCATTTCCCTAATTGGTTGCAGACTTTTTGATTTCCCTGCAGTAGCAGAACAAGTATATTTGGACTCAGTCCAGCAGAAAACTTCAGTAACAGCCTCGTGACGGCTTCAAACATTTGAATATTTCTCTACTTTTAACGGTAGCTAATTAGAAACAACAAACACTGATTAGATGTAAAGAAAAAACTGTAAATGACAGACGTTCAGAGTACACACCAGATGAAGTACATGAAGTACTGACTGATAATACTGTGAAGTACTGTGAAGTAGATACACAACCGACCTCGTTTAGTTTAGGACTCAAGGACTCAAGGAAATGAAAAAGTGAACATTGATCAGACGGAGTCCTGGACCAGTCTGTCTGGAGGTGGACGGTTAGCGCTGCTGCTAATTTGAACGACTCTCTCGTCACAGGAAGACGTTGATCTCAGTCCTGACTGGATATCAACGATATCTGGGAATTAACATCAATCTTGGAATGCCCCCAAGCTTTTAGGCTTGATTGAAGTGTGGCTGCGGCAGTGTTCAAATCCAGACCATAAAAACCTCTGTGTAATGACAGACCGCCCCCCCTCCCGACGCCCCCTCCACAGTTTGGACGTCCTCCAATGTCCAGACAGACGCCGTGATTGAGCGTTTGAATGGAGGATGAATCACGGCGGTCCGGCAGCCGAGCGGAGACAAAGACCTGGTTCAGGAGCAGGAGGAGGGAGGAGGGAGGAGGGAGGAGGTCTGAGGAGTAATGCTAATGCCCTCTAGAGATAGCACAGCAGGGGCAGAGGAGGATAGATGGTGGGGTAATACATCAGGGGCAGTGGGTCACATTCTGGTACATTATCTGATGACATCATCACACAAGAATGGGACAGAGGGAAAGTAGCTGTTAGCAGAGCATGGGGGGAGGAGGAGGGGGGAGGATCCATCATTCATTCTCTCTCTCTCTCTCTCTCTCTCTTCTTCCTGCTCTGTCTCACCCCCCCCATCCGCCCCCCCCTCCTGACTCAGCACATCCTAACCTCCACCTGGCTCCACACCAACTCGGCTCCTCCTCTTTCATCAAGATAAAAGCCCAGCAGACTGATGCTGACGCACACAGACCTACAACCACAGGGGGGCGCTGACTGTACGGACCTGGTCTGGATTCACTCAGACACTTGACAGATCAGAGTCTGTGGTCACTAAAGAACGAGGACGGAGACCATGGAGACCGTGTTGAACCTGACTGATGGTTCAGTCGAAGGGAATTCCCAAAGTGTTGTTACTGGGGAGTGGAGAGGAGGAGAAATAAACAGGAGCAGTTAGAGCTCTGGGGGGGGTGGGACGGGGGCAGGAAAGACCGGGGTAATCTGGATCAGATTAGATCAGATTAGATCTGTGTGATAAGCAGAAACTCTTTATCACTGTTTTAGTTTCAGTGCTGAACTGAACACATCGGGTGAGAATCAAACTGTTTGGACAACAACCCCCCCCCACATGGTTCTCCTTTATCTGCCCACTGTCAGGGTAACAGTCTCAGGGGTGACACAAACATAACAGAGGAGCAGAGACCGGCTCCTCCTGCTCCTCCTGCTCCTCCTGCTGCCAACTACACATTGATATTCAGTGTCATCTTTACTCCTGTAGTAGAAAACTACAAATACAATCTTATATTCAACTTTATCAACAAAATACGTTGGGATGTAAATATAGTATTCATTTATATTTTCATATGAAGTATAAATCAAATGATCCTGAAGTGATGCTGAAGATCCAGTCATTGACACGACTCAGTGTGACCTCCAGAGTCAGCACATATATATATTTATATATCTATCTATCTATCTATCTATCTATCTATATATATATATGTGTGTGTGTGTGTGTGTGTGTGTGTGTGTATAAATATACAGCATATATAAATACACCCTGCTACACTGTGGGCGACTACTTGTCCAGGAAACTGTTGGGTGATGTTTTGTTGAGAAATGGTTTTGAAATGTACTTTTCTCTCTGGTTAAATTACTGTTCAGTTGTGTTTCCTCTTTAAAGGACTATTTCACAATTATTCACTGAATCATAAAAATAAACCACTTTCTCATCTCGTGTTTTCACTTCTGTCACCGTCCTGACTGATGGGAATTCTTTACCCTGAGGGGATTCTGACAGATTGACCCTGTCCTGAGTAGGGACAGCAGTGGGGGGCCGGGGTGAGGGGGGGGCAAACCCCTCAGGGGACAGAGTCAGACACGGTGGCTACGTCTGATG